TAGTCGGCTCCCTGGATCTTGGAGTCCCAGAACCGGGTCGGGAACTGTTTTTACTGCAGCCAATGGACTTGGGAAGCTGTCGGGGTTTCACAGCTTCAAACTCGATCCCCCGACATAAGTCATACAGCCACTGGCTAAAAGGTAGAAGAATTCAACAAGTGTGTTTTGGAATAAGAAATCCAGAAAATGTCAACAATACTGTGTCAGGAGGACAATACAATGTCCATATTAAGATATGACAATTACATAACATACAATTCTGTAATCTAAATACAAACTTTGAATGTAAAAACATCAAAAGACTTGAACATAACTAGTTCCTCTTGTGATTCATTTATTGAATGATAATACACATCTTAAAATGACAATAATTTCATAAAACATATTGATTTAATAAACAAATAGAATTGGAAAAACGGGACCAATTTGTAACTTTAAAAAACAAAAACTTTTTAACGTTTTTTTAAATGAGCTATGGGAACACAAATTCAGTTTTCAACTCCCAGTTTGGGTCACTTCAATACAGTCCTCAATTTTGTAAAGAGGTAGGTGACTGATTGATTGAATCTATGAATTTATCTTACAAATATACGTTTTGTAGTCTCAAGTTCATAATATAGATGGATGTCTTTACATTTAGGCTATTGTTTCCGCACAAAGTCAAATGTGCCCTGTTTATCGAATTGTCTTTGAACAACCAAACTGAACATGTAGTGAGCATGAGTATGGCTGGCAATGGAAATCCTGTCTTTTTCTTACCCTGTTTTCCCCCCAAAGTGTTGTGCCAGCTGGGCCTGAGAGAAGCGAGTAAGATCTCCCATGTTCCCTACTCCAAGAGTTTCTGTAATCGAAGCACCCAGCTTCCCTCCCAGGTTACGACTGCATTGAAAATTGTGTTTTTTCAGAAGTACAGAATTATCTTATTTCACTTTTACACTTCTATATCACAGCACAAATGCACGGTAAGCTTTAAGGAATATATTTTGAGAGGTAAAGTAATATGTTCAACTCACATCTTGCTGATAGGCAAAGAGTTGAAGAGTTCACCCACTGAGTCCAAAGGCAGAACAGTTTGTCTGTTAGGTTTGTTCAGACCACAGGCTAGTTTTGACAGAACCTTGAAATGTAGACCAGGGACTGTAAGTATTGCAGGGAGAAGTATTGTTCTTGGGTAATAATCACAAGAGAGTCTGCCCTACCTTGTTGTGGGATATCCCTGCTGAACATTGGAAACCTGTGTGTTTCTCCACAGCTGCTCTCATTTCTTCGACAATGAGTGCCCCCACTGTTAATTGCAGGTCTGCAGAGCTTTGATCCCCTAAAGACGGAGAGGGTAAGGATGCCAACCACTGCTGGAGACCTCTGGCCCTCTGCTCTTCTGAAGACCCCAATTAGATTGTTTAAAAATAACAAGACAGAAACGAAAATTAGTCAAACAAAAAACTGAGGATTGGACTTTTAATAATGTATTTATAGCTGACCTTTATCAGAGTCCAATGTAAGTTCA